CCGGAATATACTTTACTACATGGTGCATGACAGAAGTCAGACCTAAAATATTCTCCACAGTTAGTTTAAATTCAAATTTTTCTCCTTATACACGATATAAAGAGGTTAGTCTTAAGTAGGTAAACGAAAAAGTTATGCAATGGTCATCTTCTATAACGTATGATTGAAAAAAAATGTATGCATGTTACGTACAATGTACAATTTAGAAAAAGACAAATCGTCACATAAGGCATTTTTAAAACGAAAAAGATGAATACCTTTGGTGAGACTTGTTTTGAATAGTAAACTAAGCAACTGCTTCATTTCACCCTTCACTTTTTCCTTGTACGCTTTAACGAAGAGACTCAAAAAGATGAATACCGCTGGTTCAGGAGCTCTCTTCCTGGAAACATTCGTAAAAAAATGACGAATTCAGCCAAGAAAGATTCATTTTTGAAAAATAAAAAAATATCGATGGATTCAAAACGCTAATGGAATCTTACTTGGATACAGCTGTATTCAACATCTCTGTCACAACCATCATCATTTGTCCAATGCTGCCGCTATATCTTTCAGGGTTTTGGAGCATTAACAAGCCAAGTGCTACCAGAGCATTGCCGTTCTTCTGTACTCTGAGATATTTATCATGAAATCCTTTCCGAACATGGCAATTTAGCCAATGGATTTTCTTAGGGTCACAATGCGCTTACATATTTTTCGCATGCTCAAACATGACTTTGCATAACGATGACTCGCACTGTTCCCACGCAGACAGCCTAGGAAAGAGTTCGAGAAGGGTCTGGTGGACTGGAACAGATCGACCACAGCTGAACGCTGCAGATTTTGCGTGACCACATATCTGAAAGCGGCGGTTGTGCAATAAAACAAAACCTTGCCTAGTCTTAATTAGGAAAAAGCTGTTCAAAAGTGAGGAGCTTCAAACAGAACAAGTACCTCTGTGAAGTTCTTCATCACCAAAGCACGTGCTGTACTGCTCTCTACAGTGTTAGCAACCCTAAAAATTGTTAAAATGAAGCTAATACATACGCTTCAATTGGATATTCAATCTTCAAAAGGTTAGTACATCAGGCTCTAAAATCATTGACAAACTTTCAAAAATAAGCATTTCAATCCTCTTATTACCTGGGTTGCGTTAGCCATTCAATAGGCGATGCAATAGACGTCTCGGTTTGATGAATATCCAAGGCTTCTAGGCGGATTCGTTCAAAAGTAGCATCAGCAATGCGAACAAGCTCATTGAGGACCTCAAAAGATGAAATAATTAAAAAAAAAAACTTAAACCTGGTATTGGCGATAGAGGGAAGTGGTTTGCTAGAAACTGAACTGAAACCCACTAGAAGCATAGAATGTGTTCGATCATCCTTAGACAAATCATTGATTTTCAAAGTATTCAGAGCCTCCTCATAGCATTTCTGCAACCTTTGTTTTTCACACACGCTCACGTCTTGATTGAATCTATGCCCACCGTGTACCATTCCGTCTTCAACTTGGCCTCTCTTTGAGAAGTGATGGTAAGGGCTGCATGAAGAGCATTTATGGAAGCTATTCGGATTTGAGGCTAGAAACAATGCAAACCGCATCTACATTTCCTCACTGGCAATCTTTAAATTTACCTTGGGGTCCCTGATAACAGTGAATATGCTCTTAAAAAACACATTTGCCCGTAGGAAAAACGATGTGGAGGTAAACATCGCAAGTTCTCTGGCCAACAGAACAGAAGCCAATCGTCGCTGTTCATTTCTTGTGGGCTCCTTGAAAAATTTGAACTTTTCCTTCTAAAAGAAGTGACCACAGATGAACTTGCCTCCAGCCATTCTAAGCACTGATCAAGGCATTTCTCCACTAATTCTGCCGCGTAAGATTTCGAAGTCTGAAATGGTGCGCCAATTTTTTAGTGTCTTTCTCATCCATCGATCATTTGAATAAACCAATTTTGGCCAAACTTGTCTGGCTTGACAACGATATACCTGAATCAGAAAGGCTAGCGCTCTAGTAGCCAACTCCATTCCAGCTTCATCCATATTAGGCATGGTAAGGACTTTCAGTAGAAAATTTGCGAAACGAACCACTCTGTTCGACTCCCCATCAATCGAAGTTTCCGCTAAGCACACTAAAGAATGAAACTTCATGATTCCATTCGCTTTTATGCAAGCTGTGGCATTTTGACTACTTTAAATTAGTATTAGAATGTTCAACTTGGAAAAAACCCAAGAAGTTTGTTTCAACTCGATCACCCACGCATTAAATGGGAGTTTGTCCACTTTGCTGTTTCATCAGCTTATCGATGGTCAGAGTAAAGGCCATAGAAGTAAGCATCGAAACGGCTTCTATCCCTTTGATGTTCCAAAAGCAACTTTTTTTTTCGTCAAAAACGTTATGCTAGCGCGGCCAACACAAGCTTCAAAACAATCGATCACAGCAAGCGCGCAATTGTCAAGAGAAGTGTGAAAGAAATGTGGACAGAGGAATAGGTAAATTCAATGAAAATGATGATA